CCCCAAAACCCCAAAACCCCAAAACCCCATGTGTATAAATAAGGGAGGCATATTTAGATAATTAATTTAAATTTAAATTTGGATTTTTCAAATTTACAATCAACCCTAAAAACTATGTCAATTGAAGAAAACATTTTCCTAGCTAGAGTTGCTGAACAAGCCGAGAGATTCGACGATATGGTCAACTTCCTCAAGCCAGTCTTGGACGAGAAGGGAGGTGATATTACCTCAGATGAAAGAAATTTACTCTCAGTTGCATTCAAGAACCTCATCTCATCAAAGAGAACTGCATGCAGAACCATTCAAGCTATTGAGCAAAATCCCAAGTATCAAAAGTTCAGCGGTGCTCTCGGTAGTTACAAGAAATAGATCGAGGAGGCATTGTACAAGGACTGTGAGAATATCATCAGCATTATTTAGAGCAGAATTTTGAACAAAGCATCCGAGTCTGAGGCCAGAGCTTTCTTCGTCAAGATGGTCGGAGATTACTATAGATACATCGCCGAGACTGCCACCGGAGACAGACTTGAAGGTGTGAAGACCAATGCCCTAAAGGCCTACCAAGAGGCATCAGCTATTGATCTCCCCGCTTGTAACGCCACCAAGTTAGGTCTTGCCCTTAACTTCTCCGTATTCCATTATGAAGTATTGAAGGATGAGCCAAACGCTATCACTATTGCTGAAAGTGCTCTCGCAGCTGCCCTCGACAAAATCGATGACTTGGACGAGAACGGATTCAATGAAGTGAAGTCTATTATTGAACTACTTAAGGAGAATATCTCACTTTGGAAAGAAGATGCTGAGCAATGAACAGATGACAAACACTACCGTATACAGACACACAATCGACTAGCTGTGGATTGATGATAGGTTATCAATGACTGAGGAAGCATGTAGGATACATTGGAGTTCAAGCTTGATTGTATATTTATGTGTGGATTTAGCAATTGATAAATTTAGTGCAATTTCTTAACATTTTCAAAATCATCTTCATTTTCTAGTCTTCAAATTTATTAAGCCTTATGGGGTTTTGGGGTTTTGGGGGGATCGGAAG